ATTCAGCATAAAGTAGCCATACCCCTGATGTACACTTGAATTCAGCTACAATATTTTCTGCCCTGACCTAACTCGTTATCATACTATAATTTAAAAGCGACAGAATAGTGGAAGGCCAATCCTTAAAGGTTACTGGTAATATCAGTTGTATAGATACAACAAACAAAATCTGATTAATTTATATCATAATTAATTTTAAACTGTCAGTTATCAAAAAAGCCCATAATTAATCTTCATCATTTCTAGCTAATAAAGGGAAACATTTTAAAAGCCTCTTATTCAAAGAAAGAAAGCTAGTAGGAAACAAGTACAATAATCACAGCAAAGTACATTATTGCATACACTAAAAATATTTAATTAAAATCAGTGTAAAAATTGGTATTTTTTTAGAGGAAAGGTTGCATTTCCAAATTTGAAGATATTCACATGCTCTTTGCACCGTGAGATCCTAGAAAGCTACTGATAAATAAGTAACTATGCAAAACTCACATTGTTTGGGCAGAGCTTCAGCGAGTCTCCTTAAACTAGTCAGACTGTCTGCACCAAGCTGATTTAAGATGCTGGGTAGCATTTCTGTCAGCTGCTTTGTCTCAGCATGGCCTGTAATGGTGAAAGTGTTCGCTGCCAGAGATGCCTGAACTTTAGGGTTGTTAAAGTGGATCACTGTTCCTTGGTTTGTGAACATATTTACCTGTCAAGAAAAAAAAATTAAACTAGCAACACCCTCCAAACCCCTTTAAAACCAACATTTTATCAGGCAAAAGCAGAAGCCTGGCTAACGAATCTAGCACTTCCCTGTGAAGCACAGGTGGAGTGGAGAGTGCATGCAATCTAACGGCTTTCAGCCTTGGCAATCTCCTTGATACTCGTTATTTTAGAGGAATATAAAATGGTCTGTTGAAAGTAGAGTAAAAAAATAATTTAACTTATGAACAGTAAAGCTTTTTTGAAATAAATCTTGTTTTTTTTCTAAAGAAAAGAAATAAAACTTGACACTTACCTCTTCAATACCAGAGATATTGTTTACCCCTAACTTCTTTAAGGAGAACTGAAGTTTTTTATCATCTGCTGTAGCTGTTCTGTGAACCACCTTCTTCTTTCTACGAGCAGTGCCCTAAATTGCAAAGGATAGGAAAGGACACAGCACACATTTATACGGTAACAACAGACATTTTCAAATGGAAAGTTTCAAATTTCTGTGACACAAACTTTTATGTAGCGAGTAGGCTGGTTAAGGCGAAGGTGGAAGCCAAAAGAGGGAAAGGAAAGGAATTGTCTACAAATCCTTAATAATAATTTCTACAGTTCTAGTTTTGTCAGGTATAAATGAATGACCTTTTCAAAGTCTTACTTTTTACATTATCTGCTCTAAAGTGATCAAAGAGGTGGCATGTTATCAACCTAAATTAAACCTTATTCAGAAGCTCGATATCCAGAACTACTGACCTTTTGTTTTTACATTAAGTAAAAGCTCTTCCAGCCCTGGCTGGCGTAGCTCAGTGGATTGAGCGCGGCTGCACCGCACATTGATGTTTCTCTGTTTCTCTTTGTCTCTCCCTCCCTCCCTCCTCTAAAAATAAATAAAATCTAAATAAATAAATAAATAAATAAATAAATAAATAAATGCTCTTCCCTAGCATCTACATGGCTACCCCCCCGCCACTATAGATCTTTGTTCTTATGTCACTGTATCGAGTGGCCTCTCCCAATGAACCAATATAATAGCAATTCCCACACTCACTCCAGGCTTATTTCTCTTTATAATATTCATTACCGATAGAGATTAAGTATATTTCGTCTGTCTCCGCTCGCTGGAGTGTAAACTCCTTGAGGGTTTCTATTTACTGCTATAAAACTCAGTATCTAGGATAGTACCTGGCTCATTGAAAGTACTCAACAACTTGATGGGTGAATGAATACAGACAGATAGGCTTCAGGAAAACTTATGGTCTCCTGTACATATATGCCAAGTCTCCAAACTACCCTTTCTCTAGAATATCATACAAAATTCCAAAACCAGGCAAATCTGATCACTCATATTCTGCTTAAAACTTTGATAACATGCACAGACTCTCTCATAGAAGCTAAACCCTTTACATTATACTTAAGGCTCTTAATGGAAAGACAACAATCTACCTACCTCACTGCCCCCAATCTCCGTATCAATTCTGATCATCCTTTAAAATCCTGTTCAAGCCATTATCTCTTCTGTTTCCCTAAACTCCACAATTAACACCCCCACCCACCCAGCCAAATCACTCCCATTTCTGTATTTTGAAAATGCTTCTATTGCACTATGCATATTACACAAAAATTTTTAAAGGTGTTTATCTCCCCTACTTGCCTTAAAACCCTCCTATATACTTTAAACTATCAAGATTTTATATTCTCAGGATCCAGCATAGTATAGGCTCAAATAAACTATGGTTTAATTGAAGGAAATATTAGTAGATACATAGAATACTAGTTACCAACCACCTGAAAAACCTTTAAAAATAACAATTACCTCGAAGTGATCATGTAGATACCTGTTTTCCAGAGAATCCTGTCTAAAAGACATTCTAAGAAACTACTATGTATGATTGGAAAAAACCCTAACCAGCACACTTCCTATAGTTTTCATACACTTACATACAAAGAATACAATTTTCACAAAAATAATTATCATCAATGCTCTGACCAGATACTGAAATAAAGAGTTTTTATAATATTTGCAGTTTCCCCTAAGGCAAAACTAACTCACCTAATTTTACATCCAATAAGTAGGTTTCTTAAAAGGTGAAGAAAATGCTTCCATATTAAAATGACCGAAATACTTCCTCTATTAACTAGTAAGCAAGTTTAATCTTACATCAACCTTAGGGATCCTAGAAAACCTCGCCTTCCCTTTACCTAGAATGATTTCTCTTACAAGTTAAAGGTTAACTAACATTTAAAGTAACAACAAAAAAATGGAAACACAAGCATATTATTCAAATTGGTGCTGAAACTGGTACTAAAAGGCATGGTGGTTGAAAACACCAGTATAAGAGCATCAAAACGCTGACCCACAAAGAACACCAGTTTTGTTTCTGTCACTTAGAGGCCACACCTAGCTTATAATAATTGCTAAAAAGGACAAGAAACACTTACTGAAATAGGTAGGTGCAAATCCTGACTACTATTTAAGTCTAAGAGCAATTTTTGGCTATTTCACTGTAGACTCCACTTGAACATAAATGCTAAAAGTTGAGAAAAGCTAGGAAACTTGCAGTACAGAAGCTTTTGCCATACAAGTGAATGAATACCTTACAAGTCTCACCAAGTGGAGACATGCTCTATTCCTGCAGGCTATACCACGCCTTGTTAAATACTTGGAATGTGCTAACAACGCAAGACATAACCAGGCATACCTCTGTCTAGAGTGAACATCTAATTTAAGTAAGTTCCTTAGAGAACAATCTAAAAAAATTCACTAAGTTAAAAAAAAACAACCCTTGTAGAGGGCTCAGTATCCAAGAAAAACCAATTAATCAAAAACGGATCATTTAAAAACACACCAGTAAACAATCTCATTCCTTCCTTTTTAGCTTAACTGCGAAGCCAAAATGAAAAGATACCAACACTTAGGTAATATTTTCAGATCCATAGTCACTGCTCTCAAATTCCAAAAAGTACCTAAAAGGAAGGCCTTCAAATACCCTAGAAAATATACACCTCCTGCACTGGACTGCATTAGCTAAGGAAGCATTACAGGAAGGCCTTAATTTACAAAAGATACCAACTTCTCACTATTAAGTCGACAGCTGAGGCCTAAACAAGTCCGAAGTGAAATGGCCACAATGATTTGTAACTGAAATGACACATTTCCTTACTAATTACATTATGAAACACTTTTGTTCTACTTAAAACACTGTAACACTGGACTTTACATAAAAACAATATAGTTTAAGTGCTTTCATCTCGATTCACTTGCTTTTTTTTTTTTTGCGTATACAACCTGCGTGATTCACGGATACACAGTATATTGTATATATAATTTAATTCGCAGCCCCTCTCACCAATTTGCTAGCTCTGTGAAATGCCCCCTACAAACTGACAAGCCATCAACATTAGAAAAGCAAAAGGGGGGAAGACCCTAAACCTTAAAACTTAAAAATACTATTAAAACTTACTTTCCCACCAATGCGCACTTGTGCCTGCAGTTTGGCGAGTTTCTCTTGGTTCATGATAGTTTCTTTCATCTAGAAAAACAGGAAACCCTCAGCGAGGAAAAGTCTAGTTCACTCTAGCATTCCGCGCTCGTTATTTCCCAGGACACCAGCGGAACAAATACCCTACACAGGCCGAGGCCTGGATCCCAAATCCACCCCGCAAAGCTCCCAATTTCACTTTCGAGAGGGCGCAAAGAACCCCCAACCAACTTCCTACCCGCCCCCCAACCCCCAAACTCCCCTCCTCTTTACAGGCCCGGGAAAAGGGCTGTAACCCACGCCCGGTTAGCACCCCCCACCCCGGCCCCGGCCTGGCCTTGGCCTAGCCAGGGCCTGCCCGGCCCGGCCACTCTCCGAAAGCCTCGCGGTACCTGAGGCTCCTGTCCTCGGGTTCCGCCGCGAGGTGGAGGAAGAGACAGCGTCGCCTCGCCCCCAGGGCAGCCGCCCCTGGCTCGACCTCGACCCCGAGAGTCAGCCTGAGTGGGTGCGCCTGTCCGTCGCATCGCCTTCCTCTCCTCAGCCCTGTCCCTCCCTGTCTCGCTCCTTCCGGGCACTTCCCGCCCCCGTTCCCGTCCTCCTCCCACGCCGGCGTCCACAGCCTTTTTGTACCTTGTTGGAGAGAAAACGGGGCCGCGCGGGGGACTAGGGTTGGTGCTCAGGGGGTCTTTGGCAGACCAGCTGAGAATAAGCGCGCACACGCGGGGACACAAGATGGCAGCTAGGGGGAGGCCGGAAGTGACGCAAGGCCACTTCCTTGAAAAGTCAGGAAACGGACTTCGCCGCGAGCTCAATGCCCTGCTGCGCAAGCGCGACTTCAGGACGCGGGGTTTGTGACCGTCGCGCGTGGATTCCTCTCCTCATCCATCGCTGGCTGGCTGGAGACGACACCTAAGAGTGGCTGGAAGCACCGCGAGTAGCCCTGGGGAAGGCCATAGAAGGGTCAGAGCACAGTTCCTTGCACAGTTAGGGTTAAGTCGGCCCTCTCTCTCTCTCGCTCGCTGTCGATTCTCCCCCAGTCTCTCCCCAATTTCTTTACTCTCAGAAGACTGTTCAGGTTTGCGGTATTGCTTGGGGCGCTCAGCATGTGCTCCCCTCGTTAGCCGCTCTCGGCTCTGTGGGTGACGTAGGTTGGAGCGATCATCTGAAAGTTTTAGTGTTTCCCCTTCGGCTCGAATGAGCTTTTTACCAAAAACATTTTGTCAAAATTTTGTCAAAAACAATGAAGCTAATTTTGCTTTATAAGGTTAGGTGGTTTAGTCTGTTGCAGGACCACAGACTGGAATTTCTGGGGAGTGTGTTCATAGAGCTATTCATAGAGCTATTCTTAGAGTTATTCTGGGGATGGGAACGGGTAATCTGCATTTTAGCAAAGGTAGCAGGTGACTAAATCACCTGCGACCCATGTACGAAATTACCGCACTTTTCTGGCCTCTTTAACAGACAGAAATTTGACTCGGTATCGTTTGGCACGGGTTTGACAACTAGTGAGTCACAATTGAACAAACTTTACCTTTCTTAAGTAGTAAGTTAGTCAAAGAAGAATTTGTGCCCTGTGTTTTTGGAGAGGCCAAACTGGTATGAGTTAAAAGTTTTTAAACGCTAGGACACGTTTTGAGGCAATTTTAGCATAACACGACTGATATTTAAAATGGAAACAAATCAAAATGCCATCTGATCAGCTTTTTTGTGGTCTTAGCTATGAAAAACGTTTGCATATTCAAAAATGAGCTCGAAATCTTAGCGAGAGACAATACAATTTATATAGCAAGAAAATATGTAGGTGCAGGTTTCTCTCCAAAAATTAATCTTTTTGTTTCTGAATACTTTATACATTTATTTAATTGTGTCTTTAAGAAAATAACTGTTGAGTACATTTTAAAGATAATTGTAACAGTTGATATTTTCTCTAAAAACAATGTTGTTTCTATTATTAAATATGAGTTCAGCAGAGAAAAGGGTGTTTGTACTATTAAACTACATGGATCACTGTCCTAACAATAAAGGTCAAAGTGTGCCAACACTAGAAATGTTACAAAATACATAGAAGTACTCGCCTTTCTGAAACTTGATCTTTGTTCAGGAACATTCCCCCACCCCGCTTCATGCTCTACTGCGTGCATTTGACGCTTCCTGGTCATGTGATGTCTTCTGACTATTTGCATAAACACAGGATTCTGATTCACCTTTTGTACACCTGTTTTCAGGAAGCATTCCAGGTTGTTTTTTTTATTTTCCTTTGGTTCCCACATTTCTCTGTTGTTCTTTTGGAACTTTTAAGACTTGCACCATGTTGAAAATCATGAAGTTTTCCCTAATAGTAAGAAAATAATACCTTGATTTTTGGCTTCTTCAGCTGTTTCTGCTTATTTTGTGAGTGCTATTTTTTTTTGGCAGAATTATGCTTCTGCTAATATTTATATACCAGGTTTTAGAGGAAATAACAAGGGATTTTTTTTTTTTACTCTAAGAAGTAGTTACTAAGTTGCTATGTTAGCTCAGGGATGGCAAAAGAGTAATTTACATACTAGCTTTTCCTGTGTGCTCCCAGTATATGTGGCAAATAGGGAGCACAGGCCCATACATTACTGCTGAGCTTGAACAAACCTAAAAAATCATTTACTCAGCACTCAACATGGCTTCTGTCAATAGAGTAGGCAGGAAACAGGAAACCTGCTCTCCCTCATGGGTTTATAGTTTATGGTCTAATCAAAGTCCATAAAGTGTTTTCATGTTTTAGTGCACTTGAGCTTGCTTCAGCAATAGCTAAGATACTTATATTACATTTATTTCTTAAGAGCCCCATTCTGACCCACAGGAGGTATTGGAAATCACTGAGGATAAATGTTACCATGCCTTTAGTTGCCACAATAGACCTTTGTTTGCTAGTTTCTAAACCTCCTTCCTCTTTTATCTTTTCTAAACCTCCTTAAACTCTTCACACACAGCTTTGTCTAGTTAATGCCTCTGCACCCTATTTACCTTTCAGTGTAAATGTCTCAGGAAAGCCTTCTCTGGCACCCACAACCCCACTCAGTTACAGTCATTATAGTTATTTTTAGTAGTGATATTTTGTTAAATGCAAAATGAGAGATTGATATTTTGTTGAGTCAGTGGAGAATTGGACCAGGAGTATTAATAACAATTTCCCACTAGGTTAATATCAAGTGTTGGCTGTGTAGTCGTTGGGTCCTCAGAAATGTTATGAAGGAGTTACTCCCCATACTTCTGGTGAGGGAACTGAGGCTTAAAGAGTTAAAGGTGTGGAAATAGGCACAAACAACCTCATCTTCCCTCCACCAAGTCTATCCATCTGTATTTATCTGAACCTATAAATACTGTTTTCAGTCCTGTTACACATGGAAGAAATATTTCCTCTCTTGGTACTTTTGTTTATTTCATTCACGATCTTGATTCTTCTGTTACTATTTCCCTCCTGTATCTGTTTTGCCCCTTTCAACTAGACCATTCTACCAGTATACGAATATGCCTTACTATCAGGTACCTGCAAAGAGCAAAAAATTTCTTTTGACCTCTTTTCTCCAGCCACTACTTAATTTTTGTGCTCCCCTTTATAGCAAAATTTCTCCAAACAACCTTCTAGACTTCCATCTTGATTAATCTGAATGATAAATCAGTTCTTATTTTAGGCTTTAGGTAGCATTTGACACACTTGACCACTTCCACATTTTTGAAACATTTTTTCTTCTCTAGGCTTCCAGAACACTTCACTTCCTGGTTTCCTCTAACCTTATGGCACTTTCTCAGTCTATTTGATCTTTTTTTCTTTGACTTCTAAATATTAGAGTTACTCACTTTTTAGTCCCATTTTTTTCTGTATTTATACACTCCCTAAATGGTTTCGTCCAGTCCCCTGGTTTTAAATGTTATCTTTATTTTGATGAGCCCCAAATTTGTAATTGCAACCCTAATTTTTTGAACACCAAACTGAATATTCTTGTTACATTATTGTGGGAAAACTTCAGGCACATACAAGTAAAAATATAATGAACTTACATACATCCAGCACCCAGCACCATTGATTATTAAATTAGTCATAGACTCAGTATTTTCAATATATGGTAGGGTAAGAACATGTTTTTTTAGTTCACATATTTGCAGACCTTTATTCCATACACATTTTAGGTTTTGTGCCATTATTTTAAAATTTTGATTGGGATTGATTGTGTGGATTAAGGGAAGATTTTATATCTTTACTAACTTCTGTGAGCCTGCACTCAGTTGCAGGAAAATAGATCTGGCTGTTTTAAACATAGGGATTTAATACAGAAATTAGTGCTTAGATATTTGTTTAAAGGGCTGGAGGAGTGGGCTTCAGCTTGGGGCATCAGAAATGAATCTCAGGATAATAGTGCAGAACTGGGCTGTTAAGGGAGCTGCTATCGCTGTTCCAGTCCGTCAGGACAATGGACAGCAGGACTCCACAGCAGGACTTACTGATGTTAAGATACACTGCTGTAGCTACGATTCTTCAAGAGTCAAGAAGATACTGTAGCAAAAAAGTACTCATCACCCAAAAAGCAATGATTGTGTCCTACAAAGCTGCTGCAGAAAATACATTATCTTCACTACCATGCTTGCCAGCTAAAAAACAAAGCAACACGAAGAAAGCTTTTGCCTTATATCTACCTTCCAAATCTTTCTTAAATGTACCTAATTAGCAGAAATCATTTATCTATAGAATCCTAACTGCAAGGATGTTTGGAAATGTAGTTTTTACCAATCTGCTTTATTATCCTCCTGAATTTTTGCATCCACAAGCAAGTGCATCTATTTTTATTTCAAATCTTTTATGTATTTTAATAGATAAAACTTTAACAAAAAAACTTTTTAAAATCTTCACCCAAGCACATTTTTTTCATTCCTTTGAGAGAGAGAGAGAGTGGAGGTTGGGGGTGAGGAGCGGGAGAGAGTTGCCTCTCCATATGGATCTTGACTGGGGATCAAACCCACAACCTGGATATGTGCCCTGCGCAGGAATCGAACTTGCAACCTTTCTGTGTGCGAGATGACACTCCAATCAACTGAGCCACACTGGTCAGGGCAATAGAGAAAACTTTCTAAAGATCTTGTGCATTCTTTGTTAACTGGAATACCAGATATGATAGTCTATTTTTTTGTCTCTCCCATTTTAGATATTGCATATATCCCTCCTGGTCTGCTGAATTTGCCTGCACTATCCTTGTTGAACAGAAATATGTTGATTTTTGACCACAAAGTCATCCAGCCATCAATTTACAAAAAATAAAAAGGACATGTTTAGTTATTCCACAGAATGCAATCAACAAAGTTCAGGTTACAGAAAATGACAGGACAGTTACTCTGATATTTCAGCAAATAAATTCCAAGGAAAAGAAGAGGAGAAAGGGGATTCTTTAGATGAAAAAAAGAGACATATCAAAAAAAAAAAGGAAAATAGGTAACACAATAGTGTTTATGGATGCAGGCCCAGCTGATAAAACCTGACAGGAAGTGACTACTATAAACATCAGGACAGTAGTTACTCTTGGGAGGAGAAGGGATTGTGAATGGGAGACCTGATGAACGGAAGTTTGCTGGGGTGGTGAGCGAGGGTTTCTCTTCTGTGTAGTAGCATGCAGCTTTCCATGTTTGCCATATGTAACAATAAAAGGGTTTTTTAAGAACACAAAACAACATATATGACATATATATGAGTATAGTTAAGGTCACTTTTCAACATTAGGGTGGTGTGCCATAAGGGGAAATACATATTTGGTCTTCATCCCAGGTTTCTAGGCCACAGTTCCTAAAACCCTTGACATGTTGAGCATCCTTTGTATACTAATGAATGACTAGTGTGCTTGGGATCCCTGGGTAACTTAAGGATAGGGCAGGATGCCAGAAGGACCAAGGCATGATTCAGAGGGTTCAGGGTTGTAATTTTCAGTCCCACTTCCACT